ACAGGATACATCTACATATTACTAATGGATTTAATCTCGTTTTATGTATTTCACTTTTTTATTAACTCTGGTTATTTATTCCTTTCATCATTTTATCTTAATTCTCGAAGTTTTTACAAAGTATATTTAATTCTTGTACTTTTTTTTACCTAGAGGAACATTATCTTATCGATTTATCAACATATATGGTAAGTCCTGAGTACAGTACAGGTAAAGTCAATCTATTTGTTCATTATTACAACGTTTCTGCTCACCTGTGTTCACCTGTTCCATCACACCAATTAAGGGTGAGGATACAGTTGTTATTGACCAGGTAACATTGAGAGGTTGTAAGTTATATTTGTTATTTCTAGACAAATAACAAGACGGTAGTTGTTGTGTTTACTGAGTCAGACGTTCACAATACAAATATACTGTAGCAAGATCTTCAATATGCCAGCGACTCTACCTGGCCCAAGAGATCACGAACACAACACAACACAACACAACACAAAACTTTATTATTTCTGTATCATTTATTGTTATTCATCAGTCCATTTATCAATTTATTCATTCATTGTTTATTGTAATTTTTATATTGTTTTTTTTTAAGAGTGAAGGAGGTTAGGTTAGGTTAGGTTAAGTGTGATAGAGTGAGTGAGTGATGAGTGAGTGAGTGAGTGAGTGAGTGAGTGATGAGTGAGTGAGTACATACACACATCCACACCACACCCAAATCCACACCTACACCTACACACACACACATCCACATCACTTATATACCTAACCAAATCCACATCCACACCCCATCCACACACAATAAGACCATCATAGGTGAGTAAGTGACAGCCAGGATAAAGGCGTGGATAGCAAAGGAGCCAATCAGCTTGCCAAGAATTACAGCTTAATAACCAATCAACGTTCAAAGCATGATAACGTGACAGCCAATCAGCGTTCAAAGAATCACACAGGGGGGGAGAGGACAACCAATTAGCGCCCGTGAACACACCAATATGGAGGGGGCTTTGGGACCATATGTTGATGACGTAACGAATATACAGAAAGAAAATGGAATGAGAAAGAAAGAAAATGGAATGAGAAAGAAAGAAAGTGGAATGAGGAAGAAAGAAAATGGAATGAAAAAGAAAGAAAATGGAATGAGGAAGAAAGAAAATGGAATGAGAAAGAAAGAAAATGGAATGAGAAAGAAAGAAAATGGAATGAGAAAGAAAGAAAATGGAATGAGAAAGAAAGAAAATGGAATGAGAAAGAAAGAAAATGGAATGAAAAAGAAAGAAAATGGAATGAGGAAGAAAGAAAATGGAATGAGAAAGAAAGAAAATGGAATGAGAAAGAAAGAAAATGGAATGAGAAAGAAAGAAAATGGAATGAGAAAGAAAGAAAATGGAATGAGAAAGAAAGAAAATGGAATGAGGAAGAAAGAAAATGGAATGAGAAAGAAAGAAAGTGGAATGAGGAAGAAAGAAAATGGAATGAGAAAGAAAGAAAATGGAATGAGAAAGAAAGAAAATGGAATGAGAAAGAAAGAAAATGGAATGAGAAAGAGGAAATAGAAAGAGAGAAGTTAATTAAGAAGCAACGATAATAATTTTTGTGTTTTGTTTGCTAGATTAACGTCTTGCGAGGAACAGTGGCATATACGACATATTAATAACGTTAGATAATTATAATACGTACGCGCGCTTGTGTGTGTGTGTGTGTGTGTGTGTGTGTGTGTGTGTGTGTACAGTAATTAACCTGACAATGACCCAACTTACTCAAGAGATAAATTAATACTAACCAAATTGACTCGTGATAATCTAGTGATTAGAATTATTTAAAAGATTCAATGAATAAACTTATTTTAACTTTGTTCCGATTCACTGATGAATAAATTTGATACTTTGACCGATTCAATATTCACCTAACTCACTTATCTCTGATTCATAATATATAAGCTAAAGTGAATCAGTTTATCTTTGAGCTGACTCACAACTGAATCAAATTAAAACTGACTCAAAACTTTTATTTATGAGTATTTGATTTTGACTTAATTTCAATAACTGGCCAATTTATATACCAACTTAATCGTGACCTGACTTATTTAAACCAGGAAACATAACCTATAAACAAAGTTAAAACAAAATCATGTCAATATAATTCCTGCAACCTGACCTAACCTAACATGACCTAACATGACCTTCTCACAAGTCAATTAACCCCAACCTATCTCAAAGAAAAAACTAGCTTATAATTCCTGTGACCCGACCTAACCTGATCTAACAAGACCTTCTCACAAGTCAATTAACCCCATCCTATGTCAAAGAATAAAATTAACATATATATAGATCAATTTAATCTCGACCTAACTCACAAATCTTTGGATCAAAATTTCCCTCCACATAAATAAATTATTATCTGATTAACTTAGATGACAAACGAGTACTATATCTTACCTCAGTATCTGCTTGACCGTCATTGGCTTGTTAGGAGTGTAACTAAGGCTTATCCTCTGGGCTCCCTGTAAAGAGAAAAACACAGGTTAATTAACACACCTGATTAACACACCTGATTAACACACCTGAGAAAATACATGTTGGTATGATATAAATTGGTGCTTTAAATCAAAACCCAACCTTGTCCAGCAATACGGACTTAGCACCATGCCATTATAAAAAAAAGTCTTTACAAAATATCAATCCTCTTAGGTGTGGTATAAAATGATGAACAGACAGATTAGGTTAGGTTAGGTTAGGTTAGGTTAGGTTAGGTTAGGTTAGGTTTGGTTAGGTTAGGTTAGGTTAGGTTAGGTTTGGTTAGGTTAGGTTAGGTTAGGTTAGGTTAGGTTAGGTTAGGTTGGGGAATAATAATTAATTACCTGTATTATTTAGAGGACATAATTTATTGTCTGTCTGTCATTATTCGCATTCTATATTTTTCTCCTTTCTACCCCTCTCTTTTTAGGGTGGGGTGGGGGGTCGAGGGGAGGTCGTGGGGGGTCGAGAGGGGGGGTCAGAAAGGAATTCAATTTAAGCTTCAGTCTTTCCTCCACGAAAACTGTTACTCTGGTGTGTGTGTTTTTTCTCCTGAGGGTCGGAGCCTACTGTTGAAAAGTTAGCTAATTACCACTACTCTAAATCCCCTTATGGTTAGGTTAGGTTAGGTTAGGTTAGGTTAGGTTCTCACTAAGGGTTAAAGGTTTTAGGTAAATTCTCATTTTAGGTTAACATTTAAGGGAAGATTATCAAAAAGTATTATATTTAAGGTAGAATCTTCATATACTGTTCACACACACACACACACACACACACACACACACACACACACACACACACACACACACACACACACCGAGAATGACAACAACAACCATTTATAAGCTGGAAAAACTCTTCATCGGAGCATAAAGTCCCTCCCAAAGTGACCGTCTTACCTTTGACCTTTAATATGTGACCTGTGACCTCGTAACCTCTGACCTGTGACGTATAACCTTGTAATCCCTCTTTGTAAATATTCAATTTTCTTTATCAGTGAACAATGTTAAAGTTATATGTCATGGGTTCATTAATATGAGGCGTCAACACACACACACACACACACACACACACACACACACACACACACACACACACACACACACACACACACACACACACACACGCACACACACACACACACGCACGCAAAGTTCCCCCCATCTATTTTTTTACGTCCGCACCTAAAGCAGACCTTAGTATGATCTATTAAGCAGAGACGATGGAAGAAATTGGCAGGGATAGTGAGCTTGGCTGAGCGTGAAATTGTACGGCAGGATTGTGAAATGATCAAATGGGGAGTGAAGACTATCTGCCGAGCCTGAGCCAAGATGGGGAGAGGTGGGGAGATGGGGAGGGAGATGGGGAGAGAGTTGGGAAGGGGGGAGGGAAGGGAAGGGACATATGAATAAGAGAAATTTGATAATGAGGTGAGAGAAGACATAGATGATGATGATGAGGAGGAGGAGGAGGAGTAGGAGGGAGGTACTGGTATGTGAGAGAGAAAAGAAAGAGGAAAGAAAAAGAGGTGAGAAAGGAAGGAACTGCGATAGGAGTGAGAGGGAAAAGTGATGAGAGACAGAGTAACCAAAAGTCTCAATGCATATGACTCTCTCTCTCTCTCTCTCTCTCTCTCTCTCTCTCTCTCTCTCAAAAGTGGCCATCTCGCCTCTGTAACAAATGTGGCCACCTGTATCATCACTATGGCCACTAATGCAATCTTTGGTCACTTCTATAAGACACATAAGCATTTGAGAACTTACACATCAGAAAGACACATTATTACTCGTTGAGATTACAGTGTGTGTGTGTGTGTGTGTGTGTGGACAGATTAATAACAACTCAAGGCGTCAGAGGGGCGACATAAGGAGTTTCCAATTTGCATTTTTTTGGGGCCATTTTTTTTCCGCAAGGGTACAGTAGTTTGTGAAAGCCCACGAGTAGCGTTAATGGGACTAAATTTCCTTAATTAACTAGTTAGGGAACTTTTGGGGAAGGGCGCCATTCTGGGGTAATTTTCTTAGTCATATGAACCTCTGGTCTCTCGGTAGTGGTAGCAGTTCTTTTACTTGTTTACACACACACACACACAGACACACACACACACACACACCATGAAATAAAAAACCCTAACCTAACCTAACCTAACCAAACCTAACCAAGTAACGAAACACACATACCTAGTTCTCTACGTCTCCTACACAAGTCTCCGCTAAAACAGTATTGGCAAGAGATGCAGAATTACGTTTTCTATCAATATAAGAAGATTACCTCAAAATACACTACAGGACTGGGTATATAAAAGCGGTCTACAGTAGTCTTTTGGTCTCCACTACTCGGTAAAAGGTCTTTTATCTCCAAGGACCAGATTGCCCAAAAAGACTTTATTTATGTAGAAGGTAAAAATATATATATAAAAAATATGAAGTGTTATAGGAATATATATGAATAAATGTCAGTTTATAATATCAAAATACAATACATGGAATTTATGTAGTTACAATAGATTAAAATGTATGAAAAAAAATTATGCAGCTGTATTACATCAAAAGACATGGAAATTATAATCGAGTATTAATTAAGGGTTATAGTCAAATAAATAATAATATATCAATTTATATTAGATAGAAATATATGAAGAAAAATGATTTATCTCTTATCAGCGAAAACATACGAAAACATTAGTTATATCGGGAGGTGTTAGTAGCAAATTAATTAAGAAATAAACACACAGATATGAACATTTTATATTAGCAAATGTTTAAATGTTTTTCTCTAATCCTTAATATATTATTGTATGACCTTTTAAAGTGAACCGTGAAATAAACTGTGTACTATTTACCTTTGTGTGTGTATGTATGTATGTATGTGTATGTATATATATATGTATGTATGTATGTATGACAGGTGGTAAAAAAAAACATTTCATATAATTTAATCTAAAGAAAGAATGAAGAAAGGAAGGGAGTAAAAGAGGATGAAAGAAAAGAATGAAGAAATGAGAGAGAAAACGAAAGACAAATGTGAAAGCAAAACAAACACACGGACAATGTAAACAAACCTCTGAGAGACGGAGGAAGAGAAACACCTGACTAACACCTGTTCTTCCTCCTCCTCCTCCTCCTCCTCCTCCCCGTCTCTCTTCTCCTTTATCATTATTCTTCCTTCTTCCCCTCAATCTTGTCTTTCTTTCCATCATTCTTCTTCTTCGCCCCCTCCTCTTCTCCCCTCTTCTTTTTTCCACTTTTTCCTCTCTCTTCGGCTTTCTCTACCTCTCTCACTTGTCCACCTAATCCCTCAACTCTTTCCTCCACCACTCTACCTCTCCCCCCTTCCCCCCTCCCCCTCCCACCCCCTCCCTCCCCCTCTCCCCCAAGGGTCGTAATTTAAACAATCAACTTGGCATCTTCAAAGTGGCGCTACAAAGAGAAGTAATCAAAGTAATTAATTAAAACACAATCTTAAGGAAGGACAAGTAGCCGGAGGGTGAGAGAGAGAGAGAGAGAGAGAGAGAGAGAGGGAGGAGGAGGGCGAAAGAAGGGAGGGAGGGAGCAGGGAAGGAGGGACGAACTTTTTCTGTCATAGCTATTTCTAAAGCCACTAGTCAAGACATAAACCACTAGTTCAAGACGCAAACCACTAGTTCAAGACATAAACCACTAGTTCAAGACATAAGCCACGAGGGAAATAAAACCACCAGAGTAATTTGGAATGTCACTGCAAGGTTAAAGTGACTCATTAGCAAAAGAGTAACTTTGTCTAACTTGTACAATTACTTGGGGAACAAAGCCGAGGACTTAAAGAAGTATTGGCAAAAGGAGTCGTTAGGTGGGTCAGGACAGGTTGGGTTGGGTTGGGTTGGGTTGGGTTGGGTGGAGTTGGAGTTGAGTTGGAGTTGGGTGTGGGTTGGGTTGGGTCAGGTTGGGTCAGGTGGGGTTGGGTTGGGTCAGGTTAGGTCAGGTTGGGTCAGGTTGGGTTGGGTTAGGTTGGGTTAGGTTGGGTCAGGTCAGGTTGGGTTGGGTTGGGTCCAGGATGGGTTAGATTGGGTTGGGTTGGGTTGGGTTGGGTTGGGTCAGGTGGGGTTGGGTTGGGTCAGGTTAGGTCAGGTTGGGTCAGGTTGGGTTGGGTTGGGTTGGGTTGGGTTGGGTTGGGTCGGGTTGGGTTGGGTTGGGTCAGGATGGGTTGGAGTTGGGTGTGGGTTGGGTTGGGTTGGAGTTGGGTCAGGTGGGGTTAGGTTGGGTTGGAGTTGGGTTGGGGTTGGGTGTGGGTTGGGTTGGGTTGGGTTGGGTCGGGTTGGGTTGGGTTGGGTCGGGATGGGTTGGGTTGGGTGTGGGTTGGGTTAGGTTGGGTTGGGTCGGGTTAGATCAGGTTGGGTTGGGTTGGGTTGGGTTGGGTGTGGGTTGGGATTGGGTTGGGTTGGGTCCGGGTTGGGTTGGGTTGGGTCAGGATGGGTTGGGTTGGGTGTGGGTTGGGTTGGGTTGGGTTGGGTCAGGTGGGGGTTGGGTTGGGTCGGGTTGGGTCAGGTTGGGTCGGGTTGGGTTGGGTTGGGTTGGGTTGGGTTGGGTTGGGTTGGGTGTGGAGTTGGGTTGGGTTGGGTTGGGTTGGGTTGGGTTGGGTTGGATTTGGGTTGGGTTGGGTTGGGTTGGGTTGGGTTGGGTTGGGTTAGGTTGGGTCAGATTGGGGTTGGGTTAGATTCTAAAGGTTGGGTCAGGTTGGGTCAGGTTGGGTCAGGTTGGGTTGGGTTGGGTTGGGTTGGGTTGGGTTGGGTTGGGTTGGGTTGGGTTGGGTTGGGTTGGGTTGGGTGTGGGTTGGGTTTAACAGGTTGGGATTGGGTCGGGTGAGGTTGGGTTGGGTCGGGTATTAGGTTGGGTTGGGTTGGGTTGGGTTGGGTTGGGTTGGGTTGGGTTGGGTTGGGTTGGGTGTGGGTTGGGTTGGGTTGGGTTGGGTCGGGTGAGGTTGGGTTGGGTCGAATTATTGGGTTGGGTTG